GGGGGGGGGGCTCGCAAAAAGATGTCGTCCTGCTCCCTCATGGCTCGATCCCTGCTCCCTCCCTGTCCTCTCCTTCTCGTTCCCCCTTCCATTCGCTGCCTCCTCCTCCTCCTCTTCCTCCCTTTCCGCCAAACGCCCTACAGGGATTCTACTGTAACACCTCACCACAGAGATCTGTTGGAAATCACCACAAGGGATTCGACTGGGACACCAAACTATTTCTGTATAGGAAGACCTCACAACAGGAATCCGTTGGAAAGCACTACAGAGGGATTCGATTGGAACGCCTCACAAGAAGGATCGATTGGAGACCACTCCAAAAGTGATCCGATTGGAAGGCCTCACAAAAAGGTTTTCTGGGAAGCACCACAAAAGGGATTTGATTGGTAAGCCTCACTAGGAATCGTTTGCGGGGGGCTTAGGAAGAGATTCCTTATGGCCCCCTCATGGCTCGATCCCTGCGCCCTCCCTGTCCTCTCCTTCTCGTTCCCCCTTCCGTTCGCTGCCTCCACCTCCTCCTCCTCCTCCTCCTCCTCCTCCTCCTCCTTCTCCTCCTCCTCCTCCTCAGTTTCCGCCTGCGTTTTCCTCCTCCTCCTCGGTGGATACCTCCTCCGTTTCCTTTTCTTCCTCATCCTCCTTCTCCTCCTAAAGGAAGCCTAGAGCGGTGGGACACCCTTCAGACCAAACCAAAACAACCAAAGAAACGGAAGTGCTGGAAGATAGAACCTTGGAGGAACCATGGGGCAACCCAAACACAAACAATAAAACACAACGATACCAAGGAAAACCGTCTGACGGGAAACGTCCGAATGGGGGAGGGGGGGGGACATTCTCGGTGTGTTGTTGTTGTTATTTCCCTCCTTTTAACCATGGAGTTTCCAAGGTTTGAGAGAGCGTGATCCACCGCCGCTTTACTGTGGAAAATTCCCCCACCTTTTCCTCCGAAACCCGGGGCCCCCCCCCCTTCGAAAATCCCCCCCACTGCTGGAACCATCCCCCCCCCCTCCCGGCAAACCATCCCCCCTCCCTAAACCCCCCCCCCCTCTCCGGAAAACCGGTGGGGGTCACCACTACCGGTGTGAACCCCCATCCAGAAAACCGGGAGGTTTCACTACCCGTTCGAACCTCCCCGCCCTCCAGAAAACCGGGTTGGGTCACTACCGGTTCGAACCCCTCACCACTGGCAAACGACTCCCGAATCCCCACTACAGGTCCGCACCACAACCCCCACCGCTGTCCCCAGCACCACCCCACTTTTGACACCACCGTTCCCACTGTCCCCACCAGTGCCCCCACCACTGTCGCTCTGTCCCCACTGTCCCCACCACTGTTCCCACAACGGTCCCACTGTCCCCACTCTCCCCACGGTCCCCACCACTGTCCCACTGTCCCCATTGTTCCCACAACCGTCCCACTGTCTCCGCCGCTGTCCCACTGAGCTGTCCCACTGTTCCCACCACAATCCCCACCACTGTCCCCACTGTACCCCTGTACCACCACCATCCTCACCACCGCCCTCACCACTGTCCCCACAACCACCGTCCCCACCACTGTCCCACTGTCCCCACTGTCCCCACCACTGTCCCAGTCCCCACACCACTGTCCCCACCACTACCGTCCCCACCACTGTCCCACTGTCCCCACCTCTGTTCCAGTGTCCCCACTGTTCCCACCTTTGTCCCCGCTGTCCCCACCAGTGCCCCCACCAGTGTCCCACTGTCCCCAACATTGTCCCACCACGGTCCCGCTCTCCCCACTGTCCCCACTGTCCCCACCACTGTCCCACTGTCCCCACTGTTCCCACCACTGTCCCACTGTCCCCACTGTCCCCGCTGCTGTCCCACTGTCCCCAGTCCCCACCACGGTCCCACTGTCTGCACTGTCCCCACCACTCTCCACACTGTATCACTGTCCCACCACCGCGCTCACCACCGCCTTCACCACTGTCCCCACCACTACCGTCTCCACCACTGTCCCACTGTTCCCACTGTCCCCACCACTGTCCCGCTGTCCCCACACCACTGTCCCTACCACCACCGTCCCCAGCACTGTCCCACTGTCCCCGCCACTGTCCCACTGTCCCCACACCGATGTCCCCACCACCACCGTCCCCACCACTGTCCCACTGTCCCCACACCACTGTCCCCCTGTCCCGAGGAGCGAGAATCGTCTGCCCTCGGCGAGGGGGCGGGGCGGGGTCGAACCGGTAGTGACCCCCCCCCTTTTCATGATGGAATAGGGGGGGGGAGGGGGGGGTTCGAACCGGGAGTGACCACCCCCCGGTTTTCGAGGGGGGGGACTTAAGCAACGAATGTATACGTCGCCCACGAAGCGAAATCCGTAATTCCCCCGCAGAAGAACCTGGAGACGGAGGATGAGGAGGAGTAGGATGAGGAACGGAAATGGAGATGGGGGAAGGAACGGAGGACTGAAACGGTTCACCCCGAAGCCCCGAAATCAAACCAAACCCAAAACGAAAAACTTACAAGCGCGGGGTGTCGTTATGCCCCCAAACCCACAGACAACCATACAATATGCAAAATACTCGATCATGGGGAGTACTCCGAAAGAGTAGGAGTCAAACTACAGTTGCAGGCGACAGCGCAGGTTAACTAATTGAGGCAGGTCTTGTCCAGGTGTCCTCTGTATACGTGCAGAGGCTGCTGTCAGTTACTGCACCCTCCACCACCACCACCACCACCTGTAACCCAACCTCCGCCACCGCCCAGAGTAAGGCAAGCCAAAATGAACATGCGTTGTGCGTATAGGCTGGCACGTGCTGAACTGGCTAGCCGATTGACGTTGGGAAGAAAAATATGCAGCAGGCGGCTGGCGCAATATTCAAAGTGCAAAGTTGGCTTAAACCTATATGATAAGGGGAGTGTGCTGTTGCAGGTAGGCCACAATGGGATCGGCCCTGTCTGTGTGGGTTAATCACCTACGGACGGGCCAGGGTGGCCCCGAGCACGATCAACAAGTAAGATACTGCAGCGGGGGCTGACGGAAACTATTGACTGCTGAGGTATGAAAAAAGTTGGCGCAGGCGGTACTGGCTGACCTAGATTGCGGGCAGTGCACCTAGTATCACTATGGCCTTGCAGGTAGCTTCTCCTCCAATACCGCCACCTCCTCCTCCTGATCCTACTCCTACTCCTACTCCGCCTGCTGCTAAAGATTCCCTCTTCGTTCCCCTCCTCCTCCTCCTCCTCCTTCTCCTCGTCCTCCTCCTGCTCCTCCTCCACCTCTTTCTCCTCCTGCTACTCCTCCTGCTCCTCCTGCTCCTGTTCCTCCTCCTCCTCCTCCTCCTCCTCCTCCTCCTACTCCTCCTCCTCCTCCTCCTCCTCCTCCTCCTCCTGCTCTTCCTCCACCTCCTCCTCCTCCTCCTCTTCCTCCTCCTCCTCCTCCTCCTCGTCCTCCTCCTCCTCCTCCTGCTCCTCCTCCTCCTCGTCGTCCTGTCACTCTTCCTGCTCCCTGTGCCTTTCCATATAAATAACCCATCCCTGTCCATCCGCAGACGTGTCGGCGGGGCAGGCTGGGCGTTTCGCCTCAGGCTTCCCCACCAGCTCTGATCCTGAAGCTTGACATGTGCAACAACTTCACGGATGAAGGACGGGTCGTTTTCAAATCGTTGATCTCGCCTTAGCGCCGAGCACATTCGTCACACAAGTCTGTAACAGCTTCAAGGCTGGAGTGCTGGTGGTTT